AGAATATTGTGACCTCTGGATGGCGCCGGCTGACCGTCCACCGCCCGGAGTTCATTCGCTCTCCTTGTTGCAAAGATGAGGTCATCCTGGGCATCGCTCGCGATCGTCTCCCATCCCCCTGCAACGCGCACGCTGTTCCTGTCGCGGGCCCTCTGTCAAAGGCAGAGTGTGGTTCCTTGCTGTTGCTCGCACCGAGGCTTAGTTGAGGTCGCAACGCGATAGTTTCGTCTCGCCATAACCACCCACATCGACTAAGACGTGGACACGGCGTTGAAGTCTTTTGCTTCGGCTTCCCAATCTCTCCAAAACTTTTGGAGATCCACCCACGAAACTCCCAGGCCACTCACAAGCGCGGCCTCCAGCAAGATGCGTTAACGTGGTTGCAGATCGTCTTGAACACCAGGCCTGAAAAATCCGAAATATCTTGCGCGCAAGCGAAACAACACCAAAACAGGAGCGACGGCGGAGCCATGCTGAAGTTCCGCAGATCCCTTGCGCCTGCACGTCCTTCGACAATGTCGTGTCTCTCCTCATCGTTGGATGACATCCGAGAGGCACACTGCGAGCCTGCTCCTTGTAGCTCTTCACGAACGCACGGCAAAAGCGGATAGGCAACCGCGATTTCCAGCAGCTGTACACCCGCAAAATCGTAGGAAGGCTCTTCCTCGACGGCGTCCTTTCCCACATACATTGTAGAGGTGATCAGAAACTTGCCTCGGGATTCATCTTCTCGCCAAGAAAGGCAGTTTGGACAGTGGAGGTGCGAATATTTCGTCGGAAAGCGCCCGAAAAACGACGCAGCCGCTTTGCTTCGGAAGCTGAAGCGCTGCAACGCCTCTTGGGTTTGAATGTATTTTTGTCTTTGGGCTGGTGGCACAGAAGGCTAACTTGATGATAGGGTTCTTTGAAGTGTCCGTTGAAATAGTCTTCACTTGGTGGTTTAGCATCGGACACACGACATGTCTTGAACCCGCGCGCGCAGTACTCTACCAGCCGACAGCACAGCGAACGGAATTATCTTTAGCCTTCTTTGTCTCTCTTCTTGCGCAAGGCGCACACTCATGCGAACCATCGCGCTTCAAGTCCTTCGCCTCTTCCAGGTTCCAAGTAGGAGCGACCATGGTTTTTTCATCGCCCTGCCCCATGAACATGAAAACGCTTGCAGAGTTTCCAAAATAGGACCTTCTGTTCAATCTTCCGCGTCTCGCCGCCTTTGGCTGTGTTCAGTCGGTTCCGCTGCGCATGGCCCTGCGACGAATGTTGAATCCTCGTTTGACCGAAGCGACTTGAGGGCGACCTTGTACCCGTTTTCCCTTGGTTGAAGTCTTCTTGTTCAGTGCATTTCATTAGGTTGATCTCCTGTTTTCTTGACTTTCGCGAGATCTCGGCACACGCTAATACCAAAGTAGAGCCGTTCCTTCCAAGGTTCGTGAGAAGACACGAGCACGTCGAAACAAGTTTCAGTGGGTCCCATTGGGTCGGGCACTAACAACTTCGTCATTGCTTTCTTGCCATTTTGCCTGTGGAGTTCAACCTGCGGCATTGTGTTGGCTTCGTTGTTCTTCTTGAAATTCCACGACACGTAGCATGCGCACCACGTGCGTAATGTGTGGTTTTTAAGCGCGCTCATCAGTAGGCCTCTCCCCAGAGGCGAGGGAAGTGACTGCCTTGAGCACCGTTAGCCATCTCCCGTTACGGACCGTCACAAGGGACAGTCGATCAATCTATCTATCTGGCCTTTCTTTCTCTCCGTCTGCTAGCTACTTCATCTTTCAAAGATCTATACTTTCTACCTATCTAAATCGCCATGAAATTAGCTAGCTACAGAATCTTTCCTTTTTCATGTTCTAGCAAGAAAGATCCTAGAGAGCAAGCTTCCGGAGAAACCGGTTCCTAGAAACTGGTCGAATTCCTCTCTGGGAAAAAAAGCAGACCCCCTCAAAAAACAGGCCCAACTCCAGTCATATCCGCCTGGAAACCCGTCACGTTCCCCAGAAGCCAGTCAAACCCCCTCTTAAAGTTAGTCTCTAGAAACCGGTCAAGTTCCCCGTAAAAACAAGTCAAACTCCCTCTCGTTTTATCTCGCACTTCAAGCCACGCCTAAAACATGCACGCACCCTCTATCTTGGAAATCAGCTTTCTCATTTCGTTGCTGACTCACTCACTCAGACAAACACAACACTTCAAGGCAAACCAAAACACAGTACCTCAAAGCCAAAGCACTCTGGCTGAGGCGAGCCGAAGCTTTTACAATTATGTATCTTGCCCATTTGCCCTGCCATGTGCATCTTTGCTTTTGGGCTGACCTTTGCGTCCCGTACGCCACATGCATCATATTGACCCTTGTGACACTTCTGCCTATTGTCCTCTGCATCCGCTGCTAGAATTGCTGCGCTTCTCTCTGTTTGTGTTTTGAGCTTTGATCTTGTTGTCTTGCCTTGCCTTGCCTTGCCGTGGCTGGCACGCATGCCTGTATTAGTCTTTGTGTGTGTGCAGTGGGTAAGCCGGGCCTGCGTCTTTAACTTTGATCACACGCACATCCCAGAAGATCTTCTCACCTGGCGAATGTGGGTGGGCAGCACCAAAGGAAGCTGCCTGCATCTCAACCTTGCCAGACTTGATGACTCGAGGGTCGCACTTGAACTCACATTCCCGTCCGGCCTTTTTTGCGCGCTTCAATCATGCTTCGTCGCAACACCTGGAGTTAGATCTGCAAAGGGGATCTGCAGGCGCGAGTGATCCCTTGTACCCAGGCTCTTTACTCCCACTCGCCTCTATCTTGATGCTAAATGGTACATGAGCTGACAAGCAAGCGGTTGGAACTCAAGCAACCGCCTGAAATCCGAAGCGATAGTCCCGCTGCCACACAGGCAGTGTTGTAGGATCGCGGTCTTCTTCAATAGACCTGAAAGGCTCGGTTCCCACATCCCTGTCCCTGAATGAGATGAACTGAAGGGAGTGGTAGATTCTGAGCAAAAGGGAAGACCTGCAGAAGTAAACAAGAATTACGGATTTGAAAGAGCGTGCACACTCAAAGAACACTCCTTTTTTGCAACACGAGGTTTAGCCCGTTCGGCTCCTGCACCCCTCGTGTTCAAGTCGGATTATGTTTCTGGCGACAATTCCTTCGCTTCATTTTGAAAGCAGTCAATTGGTCTGCAGTCAAATTGCAAAGATTCCATGGTACGCTTCTTACGCGCGGTGACTCGGAATCTGGCACGCACATGCAGGAACAGATTACACACAGTACACTGTCAACGGCTCCAGAAAGTTGTATGAATGCCGGTCTATGTGTGTGTGTGTGTGCGGGTACGGCGTCAATATGCTACAGGCATATTTGGCAGCCAAGCTAATTATGGCTTTCAGGAACTTCGCCAGCAAGTGGCTGGCAAGTGCATCATGGCTTGAAGGGCTTTACACTTGGCTGGGTGCCAGGCCACCACCTCCGCTCCACTCTGTTCTTCACAGCTTGATAACCTGCTGTAATTGCAGATTCGTCACGCCGAGATCGTCGCCTGGGTGGACAATCAAGGGCTTGGCTTTTCTCCAAATTCCACGCTGGGATTCTGGCAGCAAGGCTGCGGCTACTGCAGCTCCGGCAGATGCTAACACGGTGCCGGCATTTGACAAACCTGCCACTCGGAGCAAGATTCCAAATTGATGTCAACGCAAGTTGCACCTGATGTGCGGAGCTCTTTTCGGCCAGAACGCAATTCTGGCACCTCAGCTCCCGAAACTGGCAGCGTTCGCCCCAGATGTCGGGCCTTGCGCACGCTTGCGCCGGGAATAGTCACGAAAGCAACATCAGCTCGCACCTGGGAGCATCGCAAATATTCCATTGCTGAATCAGCTCATCAACATGTGTTTCCCAAGTTGAGCGGCCCCCAAATCGCAAAACAAGCTGCGCCCCGCCTGAAAAAGAACCAGCGCCACCAAGGTGGCTGGAAGCCGGCCTAGCACAACTAGGACTGCACTTACACAAAGTATTGAGAGGCTCCCAGCTGCGCCTGCGCCCGCCATTCCGGACACCCAACGCGTGCGGACACGGCAGGGGTGCCCATGCACCAAGCAAAAGCTGCGATTCCACAAGGAGGTTGCCTGACTGTACGGACTGATTGGCTGCCATAAAGGAAATATGCAAGTGCAAAGCCAGCGCGCTTGACATTTCTCTGCAAATCCTGCAGGTTCGGACAGCCCACCCCGAGCATGTCCCACCACCCTTCCAAACTCCCAGTGTGGCAGTCGCCTGAGGAACCGCAACATGATACGAACTGGTCCTCTCGTGTGCCCAGATTGTGCCAAGGCAGGATCTGGTCAACAAACGAGTTGCGACTGCCCACAGCTGCTGTTGGAGCCAGTTGCATGCCATGATTAAAGCAACACTAGTTGCTACTATCTTACACCGATGCCAGCAAGTGCCATCCCTGTTAAAAACTGAGGAGGGGCAGTTCCTGCGTGGCCTGACAATGATTGGATCCAGAATGGTCAATGGTCAATGGTCAATGGCCCTGCCAGGCCTGCGGAGAGAAAAGACCGGGAAAAGATCTTCGGCATGAATACCGTTGATGCTTTTGCTCTTGCAGCAGGTTTGAGTCGGCCAGTGTAAAGCGATAATACGTTGATGGATGCAATGAGAAGTAGCACGCCCCGTCCATGGAAGACAGTTGCTAGCATCACAGATTCGATTCTACTGGGTGAAATCTCCTTGATTTCTCACTTGTAATCCGATGGACACATCTGGAGAAGCAAATGTGAGAGCCATTGAATGTACTCTCCCTACCCTAGGCAACACATTTGGATGCCTCAATTCCCAGAAGGCTGATAGACTGCGTTGCATCCGTGAAAGCATCATGCAACATGTGAAGGCATCCAGCGTTGCACAGGGCAGGCGTCCAGCCAGAATACCAAGTGTGCAGATACTGAGACAGGGTCTTGCAGCTGTGCCAGGAACAGGGCCACTTTCAATCGACTGAGTAAGAAGATATTCAACGCATGTAACATGTTCGACGTTGGGCAAGCTGCATGACACTTAAAACGCAATCACCCTCTGCAGCCAAAACCCCAATGCTGCAGGACGGCGTGCCTCAAGTAACCGATGGGCATGACGCCGAACATGATGCCATCACGCACAAAGCGCTGCATTGTTTTTTGGGATTCGGTCTGACTTGGTCGCTGGCTTGGCAAAGTCACGAGCTTTGCACACTCCTGTTGCGGCAGCTTGACACACGAAGGTCTTGGGAGCATTCGCAGAGTCCCGGCTTTCTGGCTATGACATGCTGCCAGCAAGGGTTCAGCCCCCTCTACTCTCTGTAACCCGCCTGTTTCATCTGGTCACCTGGCCCAAGCTTCTGCGAAAAGCGTCAAATCTGCCTCTGAGTCCGTTAAAATGTCCCCGCCTCGGCGTGAGTTTCAACATATTTCTGAACCTGACAATACCCGCAAACCACTTCTATACACAATGCACAGGGGTGGGAGCAAAGGATACGTCTGCCCTGCATCACTGCACTTGCCAGTGGCTGTACTGTGTGGCCTCAAGACGCCATTGCTGCAACTGAAACCTGGGCTGTCCAACTCGAAGTTGACACGTGATGCATACAAACGCCAACAAATCGCGCGCACATGCACATCCATTCGCGTGTGTGTC